TTGAGGGATATACTGCCAGAGGTACTTATATCCTTATCTTACTTTAGCAGTTCCATTATCTTGTAATCTAGTGATCTAGTTCCCTGCTCCATATACATGTTTCACTTGATACTTCTCATCATGGTAAACACTGTATTGACTAATGCCTGTTTGCACTTGTCTGCTTGCATCAAATTCATCAATCTGTTCTTGCCTAGTAACAGTTTTAAGGGTTCTTTTTGACAGGCCCAAATTGTGTTTAACAGTGTCTTTGTTAGACGCGAGTTTGGCGAGGGCATCAACTCTGTCATGTTCTTTGAGGCCTGTGTGAGAAGGGATCAACAACAGTTTGATCTTGACACCTCCATCAACAAGGTCCACATTTGTGTCTGGCTTCACAGACAAATGCGTGACAACTTAAGTTAAGAGCAAGCAGGATAGAGAGTCAGTGATGACGAGACTGTCGGTGATGGTGATTTAAATAAATTTAATGGCTGAAAGTATGGCAACTAATTCTGTTTGTAGAATGGATGCCCACTTGTTAATTCTAATTCCTTTCTCAGTTACATTTCCATTAGGTTGATCATAACCTAACATCTTCATTTGCACTGAAAAGTGAGATAAGTCTCCTACCATTGGTGTTAGTGGTGGGGTCTTTTTCTTCATCATATAGATTACAGCTCCTCCCCGACTTACGACCTCCGACCACCCGGACATTCGACCGCCTGGTGTCCAGAAGACACATCTTCTGGGGCCTTGCATTTTTTGGGTGGGTGACTGTACCGCTGACACTTGAAGCATCTGGTCTGTCATGGCACGTAAGATCTCACTCAGACGTTGTCCCATCCCAGTGTGACCGTCTCTGGAAGTTTGTGGAAAAATCCAACTAGAGCCGAGGTGGATTTTCCGTCGGGTCTCTTAATTTCTCTCTTCGCGTCTATTTCTTCTTCTATGTGTTCTTTAATATCATTCTTGTTCATATGTTATACTTTGGCGTGGGAAATAGCTTCCCACACCTTAACGGGGCCGTCATCGATGACATTAAACGTTGCTAAGTTGTTTAGCCTGTCTCCAGTCACCGAAGTTGAGGGAGGCTGAGGACTGTGTGGCACTTCTAAGAAGTCAGCAATGACTGGGAGGCATAACCCTCTCACATAACCTCCAGTGTGACCAGCCAGGAACTCCTGGTTAAGTAGCCACTTCCTTTTTTATCATGACCCAGTTTGTCTCCAGCAAAGTAAAGGAATACAGATGTAAACCTTCCTTTTTTCTCTCCCTGGTGTTATCTCTATCAATACAGTACAGGCACCATCTACTTGTAGAGGTTTTCTATAAGTATATGCTGTTGTTTCTTCTCTAAAACACTGTCTGCTGTACTCGAGACTCCAGTATTGGTGGGACTGTGTTGGCTGATGCATGGCTGTGTACTCATGATCACATTTGTAAATAACTGACGGTCTTAATTTATATGGAAACAAGACTTTTATCAACAAAGTCATTTCATAAGTTTTGAATATATTCTATCTCAATATGCTGTAAAAAAATTTGGAGAGTGAAAATGTTTTTATATTCCTGGGAACTGCCATAGGGCGGGTACCCCTACCAATGAGTTGTTCCAATGATCTAGATTGGAAACTTGATCCACCAGGACTGCCTTTGGGTCTGTTGGTATAAACACAAACTGCTCCAATACTTAACAGTGACTGAAACAACTGTAAGACATTCTACTGTTCATGGTTTTGATAGTGAAGCTGATTTACATCATCAACTGTACTACAATATTTTAGATAACTGCCTTGGTGAACTCAATGCTGAGTTTGGTGAGCATAATATGAGATTACTTACAGTCATTTCTAGTCGTTGGCCAGAATCCAAGACTTGTTTATTACTTCCGGAAAATCTTGTCCAATTGGCTAAACTCATAGGTGTCGACACTGAGTCGTCTCTTCTGTTAAGTGAATGTCATGTTGCTAAGTGACTTATTGAAGAATTTTATTGCCCAGTTCTCAAAAACATTGGTGAAAATTTCAAGATATCATATCCTTTCTGAAATGGATTAACTCACATACACAAGCTTTATGCGGCTGCCCTCACATTTGGTACAAGCACTGCAATATGTGAACACTCCTTTTCAACTGTCACGTGCTTACACAATATAGGCATTCAATGACTCACCGTAGAAAAAGTAAGTTGGTCTTGACTGTATTTTGGGCAGACCTTACACAGAAATTGAACTTGGAGGAAAAAGCGGGAAAATTAAATTGTATTGAGTTAATTATCACTATCACATAATGAGTACAGTACTGTGTATATAGAAGTTATTAATGGAAGGAATATTTTCTCATTATTTCTCTGTTGTCATTTTTTCATAAACATCATCAGTTTTCATTATTGTCTTGTTGGTTATTTGAGAAAAATTAATTTACATTCAGTTGTTCATTGCTGTACTTCAGTTTATATAATTCTTTCCTGTAAATGTTATATACTTAAACTATCATTACATATATGTGTGTGTAGTTTAATAATTTATGAATTTATATACAGTATACATAAAATGTTGTGAGCTGACTCATTAGTTGTCATAAATAAAGTTAGTGTTCTGTTGTATAATTGGTTTTATTTCCAAATGGTTTCATTATAGAAATTACACCTAATAATGTCATATATGGCAGAGTCGTTAATAAATAATCTTGGCCCTCTTGGTCGTTGAACAAGCCCCCCCCCACTCGGCTATAAATCTGACAATGGGTCTTGCAGATAATTTACGATTTGATAAACAGCAACACCAACAAGAAGTCATAACTAAGGAGGGAAAATGAAATATAAGAACATAAGTTTCACTCATTAACCAATATTACTCAAAAGAAATTGGAAATGTATTTAAACTCATTATTATGGGATTTGATTCCAACAATATAATTCTCATAATTTATAATGTGCATAGAATAGGTTTAAGATCCTACTTAACCAAACGAAAAAATAAATAAGGGATTTGTGGAGATAATAGACTCATGAATCTGGATAGTAAAGCCTAAAAGAAAAAAACACAATCAATTTTATATACCCGTATATGGTAATAAAACCACCAATGTGAGGGTCTGTCATTTATTGACAAGTTAAGTACAGTATTACCGGAGTCAGTGTTTATTGGTTTAAGAGCGGACAACAACACAGGCTGCCACGTCATATTTTTTGGTAGATTGTTTACAGTAAATAGTTAATTTCTCTGTGTCAAAGAGCGTGGAGACATCATTTTAGTGTCACATGATCAGTTCTTCACCGTGTTTTACCCCGTACTCTCCGTCATCTTTCATGTCCTGCCCATTACAGGTGATTTATGTTCATAGAGAAGATATAAAAAAATACTGGTATTTATAATTAAAATAAAAAGTTGTGTTAATTTTTATTACGTAGTTAATATGATATTATGTCATTTGTTGCCACCCAAAATGTTTTGATAATTTTATGGTTGCAATCAGTAGTTTTGATCATTCTAAAACACTTTTCTTCTATGGCATTTCTGTCACAAATTAAGTTCTGTATAAGTGAGATATTTTACATTTTAGTTGCTGGTTTGTTAACCAATCAGATCTTGGCATAGTCCATCTGTTAGGCTAGTATGGTTTAGATTAGGTTATATATTCTATACTGGTGCAATCAATACAGTATACTTATATACTAATGCAAATTAATTACATACACTGTACACTCTTGTCCTATATGTAAATAGGAAATGTCAAATTTTCCCCTAAAATCAAAACTTTTTAATTTCTAAATTTGTACCAAAAAATTGCAAACAATAGAATCAAATCTATATAACATTTTACATCCATCAAGCATAATTTCAACTTCCAAATGTTTGGTGGTAACAAGTGAAATTTTACCATTAATACTACATCATCCACAGAACAACTGTGGATAATATGAATCAAATATAAACACAGTACTGTGGTACTAAGGGACTCCACCACCACTACCCAGTACAAGTTATGATGGTGTTATTTGACTGTGCTGGCTGGGCAAATATCCAAAGGGTATTTGACCGTTAGCTGCGGAGATTGTCTATGATTTTACTACGATTTTAATGGGATTGTGGACAGGATGGCTGTGGGCATTATTACACTAGTCATTACATAATAACTTAAATGTTAAATGCTTAATTATCTTCTGATACTCCAAGATGTCCCACTTCTCTTATGGACATATAATTGGGTTAGGTTAGATAAACATTTTTTAGTCTATACCTAAACTGTTAAACGTTGAGCTGTTGGTTTTCTTAATAAATAGATTTATAATTTAATCATGTTCTATCTTCCTTATCATTAATTTTACGTGTTCCTATCTCTACTTGGTCAATTGTGTTACAATAGTTTAAAGTTATCAATAAAATAATATGTAGTATATTCTGGGGCCACAAGAACTTGGTTTTATTTTAGAACCCTTCAAAATATTATATTATATTTATAATTGTTAGTCAAATTGAAACAAATTTATACAGTAAAACCATTCATAAATATATTGAATAATAATTACTCACATACAATAATATGATATATAACTGGGGGTCAAATAGTGCTATAAGCCGTGCCTACCTGTTGCTCCTGCCAGCAGACCAACACCCACACACACACAGCAAGTCTCTTACCTTGTCCAATATGTCCTCACAACTATTATAAGGCTCTCTCTCTCTTACACCACCATAATCCCTGCACACTTATCATTCATACTAAAACACAAATGAGTCCTCACAATACAATATTACACCAATACAAACCAATTTTCTTCAGAATATTTTTTTCAGATGCTGCTATATTTGCGGAGGGCACCTGCACTCTTCCTCTGCTCACTCTCTCTGTCTCATCCTGTTTGCCTCCCATCCCAGGGTTGGGTTGGATGATGGGGAAAGATGAGATAAACCAAATATGAGGATTGGTGGAGGAAGGTGGTGTGGAATTGAGTGGGGAGGGAGAGGAGGGGGTGGGAGTGTTGGGTATAAGGAAAGGTGTGAGAGAGGGTGAGTGTATGGATGGGAGTGAGGGTGTGTGTGGGGGAGGTCCTCCCATACACACACCCTCACTCTCACCCTCTCTCACACACCCAACCTCCCACCTTTAATGCGTGTGGATGGGACTAAGGTTTTCTCATTTCTTTCAGATTGTGCGCCTCCGAGGTGAACGTCTGACTGAAGTGAACATGTGGCTGGTCGAGAACTCCTCCAAACAGGTAAAGTACTTATGACAATATATAATGTCTATATGCAAGTATTTATGAATGTTATGTTTTAAAGTTTTTTGTATTCCAGGTTTGTTTGTGTGGCTGACTGGACCTACTACAAGGTGCTTCTTGCAGGTAATAAAGGTAAAGTTTTTCAAGTTATAGTTGATAGCACTAACAGCACCGTAGTTAGACGTAGAATGCACAGTAGTAACTCCGCCTTGTTCAGTCGAACATGCCGGTCCCAAGCCCGGATAAAGGAGGAGGGCTACTGCAGTGTTGTATCTACCATCGCCACCTAACAAACTTACATTATAAATTGTTCTGAAAAAGGTAATATTTTCTGTCAGCAACATAGAAAAAAATTACATATGTACTGTACATTGTGTACTATGTTTTTATATCTTTGTAGATAGGTAATACAAAATAAAGAATTGAATATACAGTATATTTTTTATTTTCATATGTATACACTACACATTTATTGCAATATACAATAACAGTCCAGAAGCTGATACAGAAATACAAAATATCCTTGGTCATATAGCCTGGTTTTATACCTGCACTGTCTAGGTACAGTATATATCAATTTACTGGCTATTCCTGCAGTCTTATGTTCTTAAACCTACATTACCAAATATTAGCACAGAAGAAAATCAGAGAAAACTTGTAATGATTGGCAACATCACTAGATATCTTTCTCCAGTGTCCCAAGAAATCACATTACAGTACCACTACCATTATTATTTCTCGGCAGATACATCAGTGATGGTGAGGCCGTCACATTACCAGCGGTTGTGGATTTCACAATTCAACCCTTATATTGCAGACTCCACATAAGGTGAGTTTATTTCACTAGACCTTAAGGTTTTATAAAGTATCTTGTCAGGTTTTGGTCCTACACAAAATTTAGCTTTAGATAATAATGGAAGTCTTGTACTTTGTGAATAATTTTGGCCAGGCACAGTACAGATATATTTCTAAATTTATCCGTTACCAAGTCTTTAGGGGGCGGGGTGGGGTGGTAGGGGGATGGGGGTTCATAAGTTGTTTATTACAATTTTACAAGATTTTTTCTTCTATATTTTCAGGTAAAACACTTCCATTCAGCAATTGGTGTGCAGTGTCCAGATTGTCAACATTTAGTAAGTAAAATTCTTACTGTACTTTACTTTCATTTACTGTATATACAATACTTTCAAATTAATAACATGTATGCAATAAAAAATGTTCTTTACGGTCATGGCCGATGAATTTCAAAATGAACACGAGACGTCCGTTCTCTCGGTAAGGTTGTCAAAATCCTTTGTCCGAGGCGTCAGTAACTTAGATGCATTATTTGTGCCATCTGTGGGTATCTAGTAGTTTTGATTACATGTACCCAATAGGGCATCACATGGGCATTAGTTTGTAACAGTTGTACGTACAATGAATGGCACTTTGATGTCAATTGGTGATAATTATATGTAATTAATGTATATATCATGTTCTAAGTTACCCAGAAGCCATCATGTGGGTGAATCCAAGTTGATCACTTTAGTTCATGTTTCAGGTATAGTTTACAGTTCTACTGAACTTGTGGTTTATTTAGATCATTATCATTCAACTTCGGAATATGAAACGTAAAGTTTATTCAATATTTATTTATTTATTTTATTATACACAGACATTGTAGGAGTACAAACCATACAAACGCCTCCCCCGGTACAAACGCCTCCCCCGGTACAAACGCCTCCCCCGGTACAAACGCCTCCCCCGGTACAAACGCCTCCCCCTGGTACAAACGCCATCCCTCAACAAGCCACCAGAGGCCTTCCCACACTGAACAACAATTACATATTACATTTAATTTTACAAACCACTAAGAGAAATGGATCCGTGCGAGATATTCAAACCTCTCACAATCCGTTTGATTGATGTCCGTGTATCTCGTTTTACACCTTGCTGATACTTCACCTGTGGACGAATAATATACAGTATTATAAAATGGAAATTTTTTGCAACCACAACCAAACTGTGACTACCACTGTAGTTAATAATGCTACTGTACATAATGTATCTTGTTATTTTTAATACTTTGTGTGGCTTTAATCAAGGTCCACTCCTACAGTCTTGAATGCATTAGTACAGTACTTTAAGTATTTTCTCAAGTTTTGCTAAATTATAACAAAAATATTTCCGTAATACTTAACTTTCACAGTACACTATTCTTACAGTAGTGTACAGAACACCAATTCTGTTCTTTCTTAGTAAGGTGGTAGTCCTCAAGGTGTGGGATGCTAGACAGTCGTGGTCACCTTGTTGTGTCTGGTCCATCTATCTTGTACACCAACCACCTGCAACGTGATTATATTTGTTTTTAGATACTCTACATCTGAATTAATTAAGCTATTTTATATCACAACCAATACACAATATTGAGGTTAACTTGTACTGTATGTTCTTAAATGCACTATTTTAAGTAATATATCAAGTTTTGCTAAATTATATAAAAAAGGTTTCAGTAATACTTAACTTTTACATTACAGTACACTATTCTTAACAGTAGTGTACAGAACACCAATTCTGTTCTTTCTTAGTAAGGTGGTAGTCATCAAGGTGTGGGATGCTGGACAGTAGTGGTCACCTTGTTGTGTCTGGTCCATCTATCTTGTACACCAACCACCTGCAACATGATTATATTTGTTTTTAGATACTCTACATCCGAATTAATTAAGCTATTTTATATCACAACCAATACACAATATTGAGGTTAACTTGTACTGTATGTTCTTAAATGCACTATTTTAAGTAATATATCAAGTTTTGCTAAATTATATAAAAAAGGTTTCAGTAATACTTAACTTTTACATTACAGTACTGTACACTATTCTTAACAGTAGTGTACAGAACACCAATTCTGTTCTTTCTTAGTAAGGTGGTAGTCCTCATGGTGTGGGATGCTGGACAGTAGTGGTCACGTTGTGTCTGGTCCTTCTATCTTGTACACCAACCACCTGCAACATGATTATATTTGTTTTTAAGAATATACATCTCTGAGTAATTAAACTATTTTTTATATACGTATTTACATATTGAGGAATTTGCTTGTTTTTTCTGTATGTTCTTAAATGCACTATTTTAAGTAATATATCAAGTTTTGCTAAATTATATAAAAAAGGTTTCAGTAATACTTAACTTTTACATTACAGTACACTATTCTTAACAGTAGTGTACAGTACACCAATTCTGTTCTTTCTTAGTAAGGTGGTAGTCATCAAGGTGTGGGATGCTAGACAGTCGTGGTCACCTTGTTGTGTCTGGTCCATCTATCTTGTACACCAACCACCTGCAACATGAATATATTTGTTTTTAGATACTCTACATCTGAATTAATTAAGCTATTTTATATCTGTGATAATACCACAATATTAAGTTCGCTTGCCTTGTTTGGTATATTTGCAGAAGCCTGTTTTTAAATATATAAAAGTTTCATTGTGCTGCTTTTACATTACAGTACATTATTCTTAACAGTAGTGTACAGAACACCAATTCTGTTCTTTCTCAGTAAGGTGGTAGTCCTCAAGGTGTGGGATGCTAGACAGTCGTGGTCACCTTGTTGTGTCTGGTCCATCTATCTTGTACACCAACCACCTGCAACATGGTTTGGATTTAGATCAATCTTAATTAGCCTTAATGTATTAATACCAATACACAACATTTACTCCAGAATTTCTTGGAATCTAAACTTGCATTCTTATATATATATGTGATATATCCGTACACTCAAACACCCTCCTATATCACCTTACACAGGAGCATTGTCCTTCTCACTTTTGGCTGCAGCAGTCTTCATCTAGGCATCATCCCCCACATGCCTTCATAGTACATGCTATTTTTTGCATCACATTTTTAACATGCACACCATTCACCATTGCTTGAGCACACCACCATCCATGCATGCATGAGCGCCCCCACTGTACGAGCTCCCTTCCACTATACGAGGCCCCCACCCCCACTGTACGAGGCGCCCCCCCCCATTGTACGAGCGCCCCTCCACTGTACGAGCGCCCCTCCACTGTACGAGCGCCCCTCCACCGCCCAATGCTCCTCCTTTCCAACCCTTCACACAAAGTAAGTCCCTCCTCTTGAGTCTTACTTCCAGTAGTTTTTGGGGATGGCCATACTAAGATACACAAGTAATTTACCTAAGAAGGCTTAAGTAACATGCTGGGTGTTACATCTTGCTCAAGGTGTCGGTCACTTCCTCTACATTGGCATTCACGTACGTCAGCTGTCACCTGCAACATGTTTAAAGTTGTAATTTATGTACACTGAAGATTAAACATACAATTTCCATCTACCACCAGACTACATGTACTTATACTGTCCCTAATTGTTTATTTAAATACCTTATCTACAAAAGATCTTATTTTAAGTTGCATTAGTGTTTTAGTTTTCTTGATACCTCAACAACTAACATTTACCACAACAATAGTATAGCCAATCATAACAAGCCTTCATCACCAATACTGCTACACTACTAAATCTCTCCACACTGCTTCATACACAACAGTTTACCACTGTTCACTTACTGAATCCTCCCTCCCACCCCTCAAGCCCCCTTAGGTATTCCCCTTGACAACTTGGTCACATTTAGCTTGAATGAAAAACTTTACCAACACACCTGCTCACCCCATATGCCAACACACAAGCCATATTGTCCCCCCCACCCTAATTACAACAAGCCACACCCACACAATGTTTAATGATTTCACAAGTCCCACAAGCTTCCCTTGCCTAAATAAAACTCATTAAGTTGACTTTACCTGTTCTGGCATTTTAAGTTATTTCTCCTTAGGTTCAGTATGATGTTACTTCTGGCCAGCTTAACCTGAGGAGAAAGTCAGTACAGTACACGATTAGATTTTGAAAAGGAAACTGCAAAGTACGCAAGCTATTGATTTTTAATAATTTAAACAAGTGAAATTTTTTCTAGCTTAACTTTCTGAATTCATGATCAGTTAACATGTGGCAAATTTTAAGTTACATTCTTTAATATATTTGTTATCCAATATATAAACTATATAATAGGTAACTTAATATTAATTTGGGTTAGTCTAGATTAGTTACATTTAATCTATGTTAGGCTGATTAGGTTAGTTAATTTGTTAGTTAAAACCCACCTACTAACAACCAGCTTTACTTACTATTAATCACATTACTACTACTAATGCTCACTAATACTGTAACTAATTGGCATTTAGTCCTGTACATTTTTATAGCACTTTATTAAGCTTTCCCAAATCTCTACAGCTAATCTTAATTTGACTCCCAGCTCAGTTTATCTAGACAGTCCACACAGCTCTCCAGAGCCCGTTGTAAAATTGCAGTTTCGTCGAATATGCCCTCGTAGTTTAGAAATTCTTTTATCCTTTGTATTTTGGGTCGATTCAATGGAATGTGGCCTTTATTTCCAGGGGAAAGCACCCTCTTTAGAATTATATCCCCCCCCCCCCTCCCAAAAAAAAAGCATGGAAACCTTTAAAACTCCTTTCTGACATTCTTTGCTCCCTGGTTAAAATGGTGTTAGAAATACTCCAATAAGGAGATCTATGGGGATGGTTAAAAGTCAGGTGTGTACTGGCCGAAACTGCAATAATACCGAGCCCTCCAACACACACACAGTCCTCCAACACACACACACAGTCCTCCAACACACACACAGTCCTCCAACACACACACAGTCCTCCAACACACACACACAGTCCTCCAACACACACACAGTCCTCCAACACACAGTCCTCCAGCACACAGTCCTCCAACACACACGGATCCTCCAACACACACACAGTCCTCCAACACACACACACAGGCCTCCAACACACACACACAGGCCTCCAAAAAACACACACACACACAGGCCTCCAACAGCACACAGGCCTCCAACACACACACACACACACACACACACACACAGTCCTCCAACACACACACAGTCAACCAGAGCCCTCCAACATGCACAGTCAGCCAGGTCCCACACACACCCTCCACTGCCCAGTGTAGGAGCACAGTGTTGAGTGGTTTATGGGGTGACCATAATAGCCAAGATAATATATAAGTAACTTAACTGATGAGGCTGAAGTAACATGCTGGGTGTTAAATCTTGCTCAAGGTTGTCACTTCTCCATTGGCCTTCAGGTACACCAGCTGTCACCTGCAACATGCTTAAAGTTGTAATTTACGTAGAATGAAAATTAAACTTGCAACTTCCATCTACCACTACACCACGTGTACTTACTGTCCCCAACTGTTTACATAAACCATTACCTCCACACTAAAACTATAGCATTTTTAGACCTCATGGTGTTCTCCCGACCTCCGTAAAGTGTCATTAGTGCAAGAACGAATGTAAGTGTCGCCAGGACCAACATGTGGTAACTCCAGCGAGAACCAGGCCAATAAGGTAAGAAATAAGTGATTCCAACATATGGTGAGTCAGTTAGATTAGGTCCGGTTTATGTTTTTATAGGGGTTTTTTTTTTGCATTTTGCATTCGCGGAGCCAATATTTTTTTCGGAAAACGCCTCACCAAAAAAATTATAAAAAACGGCCAATTTCCGACGGAAATGGAGGTCATAACCGATCTAAACACAAATACGCTAAAAATATTTTGTTTTACTTTCTAATTGTTGTGTGCACATATAAATGTACGTTTTTTCACAAGGAGACAACCAAGGAACCTCCAGGTTACGTTACGTTACGTTGTTAGGTTAGTCATGGTGCTTTTTGGTTGTTGACCAATGGGTTTTTCCGATTGTACAATCCATGGTTGTCCACTTTTAAAAAATTACCAGGAACCTTAATGTTGCGGGATTTAATATATACTGTATTCTGAAACGTCTCGCCGCCTAGCCTAGCCTAGCCCGCCCGGCCTCGGCCCTCCCGGCTCCTCGCCCTGCCTTGCTCCCTGCCTAGCCTCGCCCCGCCCGGCTCCCTACCTCGCCTAGCCTAGCCTCGCCCGGCTCCCTACCTCGCCCCGATTCCTACCTCGCCAGGCTCCTTACCTCACCTCGACCCGATTCCTACCTCGCCTCACCTCGCCCGGCTCCCTACCTCTGCCCCACCCCCGCCCGGCCCCCCACCCCACCACCTGGTCTCCCCACCTCACACCTCGCCCTGGCTTCCCACTCACACTCCTCACCTCACTTCGCCCGGCTCCCCATCTGCCTGCCTCGCCAGCCCCTCACCCCCACCTCCCACCCTCGCCTGGCTCCTCCCACTCCCACCCCGCCCGGCTCCCTACCCCACCTCACCACGCCCGGCTCCCCACTCCTTCACTCCTACCACGCCCGGCTCCCACCACCTCACCACGCCCGGCCCCCACCTCACTCCCACCACGCCCGGCTCCCCACCACCCCACCACGCCCGGCCCCCACCACCACCCCGCCCGGCTCACCTCACCCCACCACGCCCGGCTCCCCCACCCCACCTCACCACGCCCGGCTCCCACTCCCACCCCACCCGGCCCCACCACCTCACCACGCCCGGCCCCACCCCACCTCACCACGCCCGGCTCCCCACCTCACCTCACCACGCCTGGCCTCTGTCTCCCACCTCACCACGCCCGGCTCCCTACCTCACCTCACCACGCCCGGCTCCCTACCTCACCTCACCACGCCCGGCTCCCTACCTCACCTCACCACGCCCGGCTCCCTACCTCGCCTCGCCCGGCTCCCTGCCTCGCCCCGCCCGGCTCCCTGCCTCGCCCCGCCCGGCTCCCTACCTCGCCTCGCCCGGTTAGAACCCTTAATAAATTGTTTCAACTCCCAGAAATCGTAGCTAAAGAGTAACCAAAGAACTAGCCATTAAAAAATACATATTAATTCCGCAAAAAAATACTTATATTTGTTAAATCTAGTCAATGCGGCGCAGTTTTCAATGGTGAATACAGTGGTGGTGATGAACGTTTGGGGAACTACGTAGTTATTGAGTTATGACCACCCGGCTCCCCCATAAGTGTGTTGGGCTTCGAAGCAATAAATAAAAATTAAATAAAACCGTAATCTAACCCAATCTGGTCATTGTACTCACTTACTGGTTAATTATTACCTAAATACTGATGAACGGTTTACGCTCGTTACTCACTACCGGCTCATAGTTTAGGCTCGTTTGTCAGGACTCATTTGGCGGTATATTTGCCTAAAACATTAAGAAATTACTGGTTAGACGTTAGAGAGCCACTTAATATAATACTAAACCATATTAATGTATTTGTTGAAGCTGCAAAGTAGGTACCATGGGCCTTAGAGCCCAGTGAAACTTGGGGATACGACCCTATGAGGCAAGTGAACTGTAACAACCGGCCGGCAGGTTTTTTACTTAAATCAGCATTTATTACGCCATAATTAAGTATATTAAACACTACTCAAAAGAATAACCATTTCTCTTGGCCATTTTGACTGTAGGATGTCGGGCAAAAAATGTACACGTATATAAAGGAGACTAGAGGAGCGGTGCTTACCTGCCTGTCAGCTGCAGTCAGTGAGTGGCGAGTGGTCGGTGAGGAAAGAGACGGAGGTGAGTTAGTCGAGGCCTTTTATAGGAAGGTTCAGAGTGACGTCACAGAGCTTCATTGAATCATTTTTTTTGCTTCATTGAATCATTTTTTTGCTTCATTGAAGCATTTGAAGCTTCGAACCTGTATATACGTTAAAATACGTAAAAACGTCAAATTTGTGGCCCGATTTCACTTTTCATTAACTTTAAGGGTATAATACAACGTAAATAGTGTCCCAGAAGGAAAATCAGACCCCCCTGTGCCCCTAAAGCCTACTTACTGAAGTACTTTTGGGGTAACTATTATATTTAATCACAGAAAACGGAGCAGGGGTAACTATTATATTTAATCACAGAAACGGAGCAGGGGTAACTATTATATTTAATCACACAAAACGGAGCAGGGGTAACTATTATATTTAATCAGTGTTCAGTCGCAGCCAATATATTAAATATTGACCTCATACATAATTTTTATAATTTTTCTATTAAATTTGTTTATATCTTGACAGTCTCGGTCTGTCCTTCACTGCCGACAACAGTATTGAAGTAGTTAGGTTGGTTGGTGATAGTGAGATGAACGCATTAGCTCAGAGGTTAAGAGTACTGCTTACTGTTCATGGTGGTCATATACTCCTATTGGTATTATTTTTGGTTATGTGTGTATTCTTAGCCCTTATCAGCCGCTTTAACAAGAGTTTTATTGTGTATATAATGTGCTTTATTTATTAACAGCTTTTAGGAGTATTACAATATTGAAAACGATCGTATTTTTATTATTATTAACAAGTCATTATTTTATGCTGTCAGTCCATTAATTTACATATGACGTCTCAGTAAGGTTAAACTGGAACAATTTCAACAGTTTTATTGATCTTTATTGGGAATTTATCACATGTTCAGGAAAAATACATCATGGATACTAGAGTTGAACACTTGGAGGCTTTATTAATACATTACACCATAAAACAAGAGAAACAATATTTGTAATACAATAAAGTACACATTAGGGTATGAACTACACATACAAGAATATTATATAGTACATAATGTAATAGACCTAAGAGGGTGACACAAGAAGCCAGAAGAAATCTGCGGTCAGGTTGTATTAGGGTGATTAATCTAAAGTTTGTTCACTGAAATTTTAATATATAGAAAAAAAAATATTTTTTTAACAAATAACGGAGCTACTGAAGTATGTGGTCTATAGAGCTGGAGCTACTGAAGTATGTGGTCTACAGAGTTGGTGCTACTGTAGTATGTGGTTTACAGAGCTGGAGCTACTGTAGTATGTGATCTACAGAGCTGGTGCTACTGTAGTATGTGGTCTACAGAGCTGGAGTTACTGAAGTATGTGGTCTACAGAGTTGGTGCTACTGTAGTATGTGGTCTACCGAGCTGGAGTTGTGTCTACCAGGATATTTACACTGTAGCATCCATGAACCTAGCCTAACGTAGG